ATTGTAATAGAAATATTATATTCAGAGGAACTTATGCCATGTAAAAAAAAAAAAATCAAACCACCACACTTTATTTCTCTACTTACCAGCAGAATATCTCTGTGGGGAAAGTCAAAGTCATTTATTTATTCTAAATTATACAAGGGAGCCATTTTACATTCATTTAACAGAACAGTTTTAATTAATATAATGCAGCCAAAAAGGAAACCAGTTTATCTACAAATAGGTAAGCCCCAATTCCTAGAAGCATTAAATGTCATTCAAAATTTCAGGATTGTTGGCTCTGGCATCAGATTAGTAGGATAAATAAACTTCAAAATGGGAATTAGTTCAAGTGGCCATTTCAACTCATCATAACCAAGTTCTCAGAGACTATGTGTTTCCAAAGTATGTTCAGAATTGAGTCTTTGTTTTGTTAAATCACTGCTTATCTCAAGCACATGGGAGTTCATATTTGCATCATTAACAGGTCTCTTCCAAAGCTATCAGTCTTTCCTTGGGTGCTGAATTTCTCTGCAAGTTTCTCTCTCTTTAGGTAGATATAATTCCTTATAAACAGTCAGCCCTATCAGCAATGAACAGATTTCCTAGGATACAGAACATAGCATATACTGTCAATACTGTAAATAGTATTCAGTATTATACTGAATAATATTTATGTGATAGAATAGCCTTCACCAATTCATTGAGTTGTAATTGTGCAAATTTTTTTGTGACAAATATATTCCAGGTATTAATCTTTTAAAACTCTTTCTTTCCTCTACTTTATGAATATGCTTCCCTAGGATCACTGACAAGTGAGAACCAAAATCAGACTCCCTTGTTTTGAATTAAAATTAAGACACTCTTAAATGTTAAATAAATGAGTTCCTTCTTCTTCTGCTTCTTCTTCTTCTTCTTTTTTTGCTTTCTTTATGGTTAAAGTAGAAAGGATTTTGTTTATTTCTTTCTTATTTTTAAGCTGGGGAATTCTAGGGTGCTTACTGCTACTTCTGTTGATACCTATTTTCAACTTAACTCTATGTTTACATTTTGTATAGTTCCTACTTAGCTATAACTCCCCCATTTATACATAACGAAATCAAAAGTCTGACAATCAACTGTTTCCAGTAAAATTTTCAACCCCAATCCTACGATTTCTTATAGTTAAATCATGGAAATCCCACAATCTAATCCTACTCTAATGTCTGCTCTTTTAAAATTATGGACCGTTTGTTGACAGCTGATATGAACTACTTGACTACATAGCTGAAAAGCCATGTGTTTTGAAAACCCTTGTAATTATATTTCATTCATTATTTATTCTTGCTTGTGCCATAGTTTCCTTAGAAAAGACTGTATCATCAATTCAAAGCTATATTTTTTCAGTAATTTGTTTAACCAGCTACATAGTAGCTTTTTAAGATTCGTGGATTTATTAAAGATAAAATCAAGGTAAACAAATAATATTAAATGTCAGCCAGTTTCAACCTGCCTGCCTGTAGGAGAGGAAACCAGTTTTGACTAGAACATCAAGCAGTTGTGTATTTTTTAATTAAAAATAGTAAATGATTTTCAAAGCAAATAAAATACAATGAGCTAAGTATTTCGTTTGTGAGATGACAGGAGGTCTTTCTGTTTTTCAATTCTTCCAAGACCGTGATTATGAAGTGGACAATTAAAGGTTGTCAAATTCACAAATGTAATTTTTCCTCTGCTTTAGTAAATGTCATGATCACTGTTTCTTATCTTTCAGAGACCATTTTAAACTTAGTTTTATATTAATATTAACTTACAACATTCATTCTAAGAAAGTAGGGTATAATGCTCTCCTTTTCACTAGAAGAATGTAAAGGATTAGGAAAGTTGACAGTCATGCAGGATGTCAGAGGTGACACAAAGAATGTCTTTTAAATTCCTGAAGTACATGTACAGTAATTTGATGTTTTATTCACCCATATGCATAGTTTCCAAAGGAAGAAATAGAAACCTTGCTTTGAATGTGAAAACTTTTTTCTTGACTCCATACTCTCAATTTCTTACCTTCCTTTTTGGTAGCTTCTGTCTTACATTTTCTGGGTTAATTATAGCAGCTCTAGCTAAGACTACTGAAACAACATGTGCTTTCTATTCCTATATAACATGTATTGTTCTAGAATGCAAACTGACTCAATGATATTCAGCCAATATCCTTGACCTGCTAGCTACCACTACTGCTGACAATTTGTTTAAAAACTGTGAACTTCATTAGGGATTTTAAAGTAACATGAGCACCAAATCCATGATTTCACTGAATGATTAAATAGAGGATATAATTAAAAATGAATAAAATTAGAAGTATTCTAAACATAACTAGGAACATGACTGTTTCCAAAGACCAACAACGAAAATACCCACGCACATTCTAAGACCCAACATAAATTTTAAAAAGATGATATATGCCTCATTCAAGAAACTGTACTGGTTTATTAGTTGAAAGAATTTGACACATTATTCTGCATTAGGATTAGATGCAGAGACAGTCTCAAAGAGCAGTCACCTTAAGATCTATTGAATTAGAAGCCAAAAGCAGACAAAATATACTACAGCATTTCTTCATTGGTGCACTTTATACTACTTTCCATTTGGTAGCTCTTCATAGATATCTATGTGCTTTTTTATTGGGCTGAAAGTTGGTATCCATAAAGTGAGAGAGTTCTCTTCAGAAGAGATGGGGCGAGATATCAATTAGACATTCTGAGGGAGAAAAGACCTGGCTCATGAACTAAGAGATCTCTGAGAAATATTCACAAGGACTATTCATTCACCCA